GCCGCTCGCACCTGTGCGTAGCAGACAGCCCACCCCAAGACCACCCCGAGTTCCAACATTTTAGGGTTTTGTTCTAAAGTCTTCTGGGCATCCCAACGGGGGCGTTGGCATCGCCGACGTTGGTCGTTATCTTCAACGGGGCCCAGGTAGAATCGAAACCAGCATTGCGCATCGGCTTTCTGTGAGTAAGTCCCTTTCTGGGAGGCTGTGTTGGCGGGTGCTTACGTGGGCTTTCTGTAAGGCTGTCTTGGCGGGTGCTGGGCTTTCTGTGAGGCTGTGCTAGCGGGAATTGTGGCAATGCATGTGGGCTTTCTATGAGTCTGTGCCTTTCTGGGTTGGGTTTTCTGTGAGGCTGTGCTGGCGGGATCTTATGTGGGCTCTCTGTCAGGCTATCCTGGAGAATGCCGGAAGAAGCAGTGGGCTTTCTGTGAGGCTGCTCTGGCGGGAAGCGTCGAAATCGGGGAGCCCCGAGATCGGCCGGCTAACTATGATAGTAGGATACGGGAGATCGAGGTGACCTTCCAAAATCCTTAGTTCCGGATCATGCCTTAAATTATAGTAGGATCCCTGATATGATGTAAGGTGAACTGAACCTTCCAAATATCCCTAATCTCGGCATGTGCCTGAATAAATTACAATAGTATGATCGCGCATATGATTCAAAGTACCTATAGTCTCCATTGTAGCTCCTTTTTTGCGATACCTTATAGAATCCTTAATATAGAGTTGGTTAAACCAAAAAAAGGAGCTACAATGGAGACTATAGGTATATTCCTGAATCAAAGGATAATTGGAAGGTCTGAGCATGAGACTTCAGGCTGCAGGTCTTTGGGGGTTTGGGTTTATCGGGTTGGGGTTTAGGGTTTATAGGGCTTGGGTTTAGGGTTTATAGGGTTGAAAAGGTTTATAGCGTTGGGGTTTAGGGTTTATAGGGCTGGGGTTTAGGGTTTATAGGGTTGAAATTGAGGTTTATAGGGTTGGGATTTAGGGTTTAGGGCTTAGGGTTTATAGGGTTGGTTTGGGGCCTGGGGCTTAGGGCTTGGAGTTTGGGGTTTAGGGTTTAGCTTCTAGGGTTGTCGGGAAGTGAACCCTAAAGTCTTGCTTCCGGTCTTGTGGTTGAGTGAACCTAGACACTTTGGGGTTCAGGGTTTCAGGTATCTATGGTAAACCCCCAAAAATTGGAAATCGGATTAAGGACAATTAGTGCTGGGACTGCTTATACATTACTCTTAGGGATTGAGGCTATTGGGTTTCCAACTTTTGGGCTTCTACTGTAGGGTCTCGGGGTTCAGGGTTTAGGGTAGGCCTCCTGTGGGTTGCCGCACGGGTCAAGGGATTTCGGAGCGGATCTTGCGCTGGGGCTCAAGGTTTTTGGGCAAAGCTTGGGCTCAAAGGGCCAGCATCTGGGATCAACGCTTTAGGATGGGGTGTTTCAATGCTGCATCAGTACCCTAAGCCCTAAACCCTGAAGGCATTTCAGGAACTCCCTGAAAAGAGGGTTTGAGGAACTCAGGGCCGAAACCTGAAGAGCACCGCATCCCGGACCTGCGAAGCAACGGATATCAGGGGATCCAAAAACCTATCGTCTTAAGGGCTCTACCCTCTAATTCAGGGGTCATGACCTTCTATTTTGTAGGGTTTGGGGTCACAGGAAAGCTCAAGTAGGGCCTCAATCATTGCCAAGATGATTCGTGGTATGACCCACACCAAAACTTGTAATCTCAAGGCCCTTAAACCCTACCCTATATATATATATACATACAGATTTACTGATGTATTTATATTTATGAATAAGTTGCTTACAGCTTCTGCAGGCCTTGAGTAGCTCTGGCCGTTTCGCCGGGCCCTTGGACACACCTCCGAGCCAAGGAATCACTGGAGGGGTTTATGGTTTATGGGGACGCAGGATTTCAACCAACGCATGTTGAGGGCGTTGCGGCCCACCATTGCTGACTACGACTACGCCGACGTAGACGACGACTACTACTAGAGCTGCTATTGCCTTCTACTGCTGCAGGTGCAGCTACTGCTTCTGCTACTGACACGACAGAGGAGGCCGACGCGGAAAAGCAGCAGCAGGATTAGCAGTAGAAGTCCTCGTCCCCCTCGACATTGTCGTCGCTGTCGTGGTGGTATTGCTGTTGCAACTAATGTTTGTGTTCCCGCTGCTGCTGCTTCCTCAGCATCAGCAGTCCTAATGCTGCCACCCTTAATATGAATAGCATGGTACAAATGACACTTATGACCCTACTCATATTTGACCATGCACATCTATACTTTTAGATGCTAGACTCCTACAAGCTCATGCAAAGCCCGCTCACAACCCATTCAAGCCCTGCTTGAACAAGCATGAACCCTAAACAGACTTGGACTGCACTCACCCCGAGACTGCCCCCTTCCTGACCGAGTCGGCCTACAGAGGAAAGAAAGAGAGCGGCATCTTGGTCGTTCATCTCCGAAAGCCTCATGTGCGGGCTCTGAGATATGGGTAGGTCTCTAAATTAGGGCCCTTCTAGGGTTATTTTTACAAGGGTGCCGTACCAAAATGGGGACCTAAAGCGGGACCCTACTTAGAGAACTACCCATATAGGCTCCAAGCTGTTCGATTCGGGCTTATCGCTTGGTCTTGGGTCTTGACTTTAGGGTTTGGGGTCCGGTCAGGAACCGTGCGGTTCGCAGCAAGGACTGCTGTAGCATAGCAACACAGGCCGCCTCCGTGCTGCAAACAACAGAAAACTACACCTACATACCTGCATGTTTGCCTGAGTCATCAACAAATAGATCTCCGCTTAGATTCTTAGATGCACGATGAAGCAAGAATCTGTCGGTGAAGGGCTCTTTCTTATTGAGGTGTGGCTCGGTCTTATTTTAGCAAGCTCTTGCAGCTTCCAAGAACATCACAGGTGGATATGTGAGCTGCAATATAAATATATATATATATATATGTATGTATGTATGTATATATGTATATACAACATGAGGTGGAAGCTCGACTGCTGTCTTGCAGCTTGGTGAACTATCAAGCTGCCTTATGCCCAATCGCTCCCTGCGGGCTGGTTACACGGTCGCTATTCTACTCGAGAAAACGTTCCCCGCGATCTGCCTGGGTACATGTCTGAGGTGTCAAAGTGTTCGACAGAGACAGAGCCAGCGCCGTACGAGGCTTCTACAAGGGTCCTGCAAGCATGGTACTTATAAGTAGTATGAGCACTTCCCTGACACAACCAACGATGAGCATGCTCCATGCACATGCAACTTCGAGAAGCACAGCACCAAACAGACCGTGAGCACCGTCCCCGTGTGGACGCAGCTTTAGACTGTAATATCAAGACCAAGGCGAAGACCCCTTGCTGCGACGTGCGAGCAGCGAAAAGCGATGCGACTCAAGACCGCACAAGTAAGTAAGTATGCATACATATATATATATATATCTATATACAGATGTAAATACATAGACTTACACTCGTATACCTATACATATACTTATGCAGACACACATATGTCTAATTATGTCTACATATAAGATATACACAAATACAGACACACATACACACATACATACATACATATACATGTACATAGACATAAACAAACAAATAAATAAATATATATATATATACACATACATATTTATACATCAGCCCTTAGCCCGCATCCCTGCCTTTGTGGCAAGTGCTGCTCCACTGCCCAGGCAGCATTGGAGGTGAAGTCCTCGGTTCGTTTTTTACACCCGATACCTTCAAAGCAGAAACCATCCAAAACAA